CTCCCTCCCTCCCTCCCACCGAGGTCAGTGAGCAGAGAGAGCAGAGTGAGTACCCAGCCATTTCACATACAATTTCATGGCACACTGCAAAGCTTCTGCATGGATATCCCCTGTGAACTGACCGAGCTTGTTGGGTGTTGAACATGACCTATCTATCTTGCTGACAAAGCTAGGTCTACTATCCCATGACCTGTCTAGGGCCGTAGCACTTGTCGCATGTGCTCGCCCTCCCATCCCATGCCAATCATCGGGCTCTTTCAGCTCGTTCGTAGTGCCATGCTTCCTTGTTGCTAGGAATATGGAAAGGTATCGATGTACAATGTGTTGTTTGGTTAATTTTCTTCGATGCTTTTCCATTTGTGTATCCATGACCATGAAGAAAATAGTAATGTATTATGTTTTTTTTTTTCTCTATGACTGATTGACTGAATGCCGTGAATATCCCTGCCAGTGCGGGGTGGCCCGATGGGGCGATTCTTTGAAGTCTTCAATTCAAGTAGATCAAGAGATATAGTCTGAATGTGTTTCATTACAACATGGGTGTGCTCCAGTAGTACGTTAACAAGTCTATTACAAAAGAGTGCATTCTCAGGAGTTGCTCAGATGTCCCAACCAGTCACCAGTGCCGCACATTTAGTGAAGGCCGAATGAAGAAGAATCTAGAAGATAAGACCTGAGAAGTTCAGAAGCAACAGAAAGCAAAGAGAGCAGGAAAAATAGCACAAGCATTGAAAGAATCCAGAGCAGAAAAAACACCAAATGACTGGCCAAAATAGAGTAATGGAAAGGGATGGTGGGCAAGTGAGGAAAAAATGGGGCACAAAGCCCAACAAATATGTGAATAAAAGGCAAGACCAAGGGATGGAAACAGGGAGCAAAGATGTGAAGTGAGAAACATGAGATATAATGAGAGGAGAGAGGAAGGGAAATGAGAACGAGCAGGTTTGGAAGGGCATGGCTGGGAAAGACAAGGATGGAATGGCTGTGTGCATCCCCCACATCCCCTAAGAGACGTGTTGTGCGGCAGTGGAGGGCTGGCAGTAATGGCAGGGCTGGCAGTAATGGCAGGGCTGGCAGTAATGGCAGGGCTGGCAGTGTGCAGTGCAGAGCTGGGGGAGCAAGGCGTTGGTGCCGACGCAGTGTGCATGCGGTTTGCACATGGCAGATGATTCCGGGTGCTACCAAGTGCATATAGAAGGGGTTTTTATTCAGGGACAGGTAACGCGCTGTGATAGCAGGTAGGGCAGGCAGGCAGGTAGGCGGTGAAGCAACGTGCCGTTGTTTCCTTGCGTGCGGAGAAGAGAAAGCAGCAGGATGGGTGGAAGCCAGGCAGGCACGAAGCAGATGCAGGAGAATCAGTGCAAAGAAACTGAGTGGTTCCAAGCTGTATGGTGGATGTGTGAGTTGCAGGGATGGAGATGGCAGCAATGCGGTTAGCAGTGGTTCGGACTGGTGGCTGCACACTGTGCGCATATGCAGTGGTTGGGAATGGTGGTGGCTACAGACAATACGGCCATTGGCGGTTGACAGTGGTGGCGGCAGGCAGTGAGACATGCAGTGTATGCAAACAACGGCGGCAGGGAGTGTGGTTAGCATGGTTGAGTTGAGAGAGGTGGTAGCACTGACTGTGGCAAATAGTGGGACGATGAAGACCCACTGGGCTGAAAATGTGGGCACGGCAGGTCCAAGGGGAATGACGTTTGAGACGTCTCTTGAGACTTTTAAGACGTCTCAAAGGTGGTAGCAGTGAGTGTGGTAAATAGTGGGACGATGAAGACCCACTGGGTTTAAAATGAGGGCATGGCAGGTCCAAGGGAAATGTTGAGCGCCAGAGCAAGGAGAAAGGCGGGTGTGGGAGGGCAGCACTGGGAAGGGTGGCATTGAATTGGGTGGCAGGACGGCAATGGAAAGGGCGGCATTGTAAAGGGGGCATGACGGCAGTGGGAAGGGCGGCAGACGATCGGAGGACAGTGTGAAGAAGCTGCACACATCTCCTCGGCTCCCCCTCTTGCTGACACAGCTTCCAGATTCTACCAAGCCCCTGAGAATTGTGTGTCCTTTTGAGGTGCCAAAAGAAAAACCTCCCCAGTTCCTTGGCTAGCCGACAGAGCTTCCAAATCCTTTACCAGCCCACTTCAGGCCTTCTCTTCCCTTATCCTCCCTTCTCCTCCCTTCCTTTTGCCGCCTCTTGAGCCGCCACCACACACCTGTCCCCCTGCACCTGCTGCGCTCAATCCTTCAGACCCACGCCTTCTCAATCTGACCTGACCGGCCAACATTCCCTGCGCCCAACCTATGAGGCGCCCCGAAAATCGACTCTCTACCGATTTTTTTTTAGGCGCCTCAAAAGTCAATGCCAACATTCCCAGCGCCCGACCCCAAGCCCCAGCGCGCGCCCGCCACACACGTAGTTGCATACGCCACCGCCCACGCCCCCTAGTCACCACCCCCCACAATCGCAAGAGGGACGGGGTACAGTCCAGCTCTACCCCTTTCACCCCCGCAGCTGCTACTCTCACCCCCCTCCCCTACCGAAGAACACAGACTCGATTGCATGCGCCTCAACCCACGCCCCCCAGTCGCCACTCCCCACAATTGCGAGATGGCCACAATTTGGAGAGGGGTATGGCTAACCCACTCCCCTAGCCATACCCCTCTCCCCCTGCTCTCACTCTTCATCCATATCCCACTAGATCACAACAACCCTGCTTGCACAAACCACACCCTCTCCCTCTCCCCCCTCCCTCTCCCCTCTCCCGTTAGGTACGGCCTAGCCCTTCCACTCTCCCCCCCTGCTCTCGCTCCCCACAATCGCTACAAGAACGGGTGCAGCTCAGCCCTACCCCTCTCCCCGGGAGCTCCCATCGCAGTACCAGCACCTCACACCGCCTCACCGCGCCCCACAGCTCCCCACCCCGCCCCACAGCTCTCCACCGCGGCCCACAGCTCCCCACACCTTGCTCAGGTCCGAATCTTATGCACGGCCCAGATCGCCTGCCCCGCACCGCGCCTAGATGCGTTAACACACACCTCTTCTACCCCAGTTGCCCCGCTGTCCACAACCCCCATCGTTCCCTTCTCTCCCACAGCCACCTTCAAACGCCCTCTTTCCTGCTGCCTTGACACCGCTCTCCCCAACTTGCCCTCTCGCGCCGTCCTTTTTCCACAGCTGTCATTCGAGGCGAGACGGAGACTGCCCCTTTTCCAAACCGCTTTCTTTCCTGCTGCCTTACACCACTCCCTTTTTCCACAGCTGTCACACGAGGCGTCTCTTTGGAGAGGTCTCAAAGGTGATCACTTGTTCTCCCTAACTGCCCTCTCGCGCCTTCCTTTTCCCACAGCTGTCACACGAGGTGTCTCTAGAATCGCGAGAAAAACGACAACTTTTGAGGCGCCATGCGTCTTGTCACAACAGTAGTCAAGCACCCCTTTTTCCTGCTGCTTTCACTCACACCACTCCTCCCCAGCTGCATTCACGCCCCTTCTCCATCACCCCGTCCCCCCCTCACCCCCCTCTGTTCAACCCGAAATCCCATTCGGCTCAGCTGCTGCTCAAAATTTGTCCCACCAATGCTACCCTTTCACTCGCCGCACCAACCCGCACCCCACATCCCACAATCCACACCCCGCAACCCACACCCCGCACTCGCGCGTTCTCCAGAAACCAGACCCCGTTAGGTCACACAACCCAACTACATACATGTTTCCTTCCTCACGACGCGCCCTCACCCTCAAAAGCGAGCAGACCCCTTGCCCGTCGCGCCTTCACTCGCTGCTCACTCCCGTACGCGCCTCGCGCCTTCTCTCGCTGCTCAGTCCCGCCCGCGTCTTGCGCCGTTGTCGCATCCCCCGCACCCCCCACCACCTATCGCGCTGTTGTCACAGACAGTCCGTCACGCGTGACCTGCTTGCGCGCGTGACGGGCGAGATAGGCGGTGGGCGCGGGCGGACGGTCAAGCGCCTCTCGCTGTTGTCACAGACAGTCCGTCACGCGTCACCTGCTTGCGCGCGCCTATCAAGCGAAATGTGAGAATCGTTAAACATCGCCTTTAAAATCAACCGTCAGTTGCGCGTGCCTTGCTTGCTCGCGAATTCCTCGTTGTTCGGACTGACATTTCGCCTTTTCTAGGGACGGCGTGTGAGCAGTGCGACTCAAAAACCGCCTCATCACCATCCATCGTGCCTACATTGATGCTCTCCTGTCCTCGCGTCGAGTAATGTTTCGCCGATTACTAACGTAACGTCTGTCGGCGTTTTAACATAGGTCAAACTACGCACGAGAGCCCTAACTAAGTGGTGAGAGAAATACTAAGTGAATCTAGTGCATTCACCAAGTGAATTTCGAGACCCAGCCAAGTTGCCAACGCCAACCAACTCCCGATCTCCGAAATCCGTGGGATTTCGTTATTGGTTGTTACCCACCCCCAATTGTTTCGCTGCCTCATCTGATTCGTTGCTCCCCCTTGAGACTCAACAAAAAAAACGGGTAATACCGTTTCACAGAAGGTACCGTTTCGACGACTTCAGGTGGTGATTCGGCGAATGTAAGCAAAATGTCCCAAATTTCACAGAGCTCTATCCCAGCTGGCAAAACGAGACATGCCGGAAACCTAGGAGCACCAAGCTTCTCGATGATCGCGACGCAACGTCATAGCTGTCCCACCGAGGTCTGCATGTCTGGCTACCTAGGGTGGTATGCATTAGAGCACGCCCTTGTACTTCCACATCCCCCATCCTCACATTCCAGATCCGTGTGTCTCAACGAAAGTGATTCCGTCGCTCCCGTTTTGCCCGTTTTGCCCGTGATCCAAGTCTCCCGGCACTCTCAAGTATTTCCAACATATTCTCTCACTCGTGATTTTCAAATCTCTCTTACTCTAGTGCTTCATCCCACCAGACGTTCTCGTCTCCATCTCCGTTTTAAGTCAACAGGCTCTCCTCTCTCCCCCTCTTCGTGTTGGATCAACCTCCCTCGCTCCGCTATTCCCCCCTTCGTGCAGCGACCGGCGCTCAAGAAGATTACGCGGCGGGTCGCGTCACCGTGTCAACGGATGAGATCATTGACATGGCTGCACTCACCATCATCGCGGAGTCTCTTCCTACGTGAGTGTCTACCGTGCCCTTTTGCGACTCTCTTCCTACGTGAGTGTCTACCGTGCCCTTTTGCGACTCTCTTCCTACGTGAGTGTCTGCCGTGCCCTTTTGCGTCTCTCTTCCTACGTGAATGTCTACCGTGCCCTTTTGCGACTCTCTTCCTACGTGAGTGTCTACCGTGCCCTTTTGCGACTCTCTTCCTACGTGAGTGTCTGCCGTGCCCTTTTGCGTCTCTCTTCCTACGTGAATTTGCGACTCTCTTCCTACGTGAGTGTCTACCGTGCCCTTTTGCGTCTCTCTTCCTACGTGAGTGTCTACCGTGCCCTTTTGCGTCTCTCTTCCTACGTGAGTGTCTACCGTGCCCTTTTGCGTCTCTCTTCCTACGTGAGTGTCTGCCGTGCCCTTTTGCGTCTCTCTTCCTACGTGAGTGTCTACCGTGCCCTTTTGCGTCTCTTTTCCTACGTGAGTGTCTGCCGTGCCCTTTTGCGTCTCTCTTCCTACGTGAGTTTCTGCCGTGCCCTTTTGCGTCTCTCTTCCTACGTGGGTGTCTGCCGTGCCATTTTGCGTCTCTCTTCCTACGTGAGTGTCTGCCGTGCCCTTTTGCGTCTCTCTTCCTATTTGAGTTTCTCCCATGTAGGAAGAGAGACGCAAGGGCATGGCAGAAACCCGCGTAGGAAGAGAGGCGCGAGGGCATGGCAGAAACTCGCGTAGGAAGAGAGCCGCGAGGGCATGGCAGAAACTCGCGTAAGAAGAGAGACGCGAGGGCATGGCAGAAACTCACGTAGGAAGAGAGACGCGAGGGCATGGCAGAAACTCACGTAGGTAGAGAGACGCGAGGGCATGGCAGAAACTCACGTAGGAAGAGAGACGCGAAGGCATGGCAGAAACTCACGTAGGAAGAGAGACGCGAGGGCATGGCAGAAACTCACGTAGGAAGAGAGACGCGAGGGCATGACAGAAACTCACGTAGGAAGAGAGACGCAAGGGCATGGCAGAAACTCACGTAGGAAGAGAGACGCGAGGGCATGGCAGAAACTCACGTAGGAAGAGAGACGCGAGGGCATGGCAGTAACTCACGTAGGAAGAGAGACGCGAGGGCATGGCAGAAACTCACGTAGGAAGAGAGACGCGAGGGCATGGCAGAAACTTACGTAGGAAGAGAGACGCGAGGGCATGACAGAAACTCACGTAGGAAGAGAGACGCGAGGGCATGGCAGAAACTCACGTAGGAAGAGAGACGCGAGGGCATGGCAGAAACTCACGTAAAAAGAGAGACGCGAGGGCATGGCAGAAACTTACGTAGGAAGAGAGAAGCGAGGGCATGTTAGACCTTCGTAGGTTTCAGCCGCGCCCTTGCGTCTCTTGCTGCGTAGGTTTCAGCCACGCCCTTGCGTCTCTTGCTGCGTAGGTTTCAGCCATGCCCTTGTGTCTCTCTTGCTCTCTTGTTGCGTAGGTTTCAGTCATGCCCTTGCGTCTCTCTTGCTCTCTTGGTGCGTAGGTTTCAGCCACGCCCTTGCGTCTCTTGCTGCGTAGGTTTCAGCCATGCCGTTGCGTCTCTTGCTGCGTAGGTTTCAGCCATGCCATTGCGTCTCTTGCTGCGTAGGTTTCAGCCATGCCCTTGCGTCTCTTGCTGCGTAGGTTTCAGCCATGCCCTTGCGTCTCTTGTCAGCCATGCTCTTGCGCTCGCCTCCCTTGCTCCGCACGCTTCAGCGGCGCGCTCGCCTCCCTTGCTCCGCACGCTTTTGCCGCGCGCTCGCCTCCCTCGCTCCGCACGCTTCTGCCGCGCGCTCGCGTCCCTCGCTGCGCATGCTTCTGCCGCGTGTTTGCGTCTCTTCTTGTGTAGGTTTCTGCCACGTATTTGCGCGCGCCGCGGGTGGGCTCCTTGCGCATGTTGGCTCCTTGTGCAATTTGTTTTGTTTTGTTTTGGTTTTCTCTCTCTTTTCTATCTCCATGTTATCTTTCTTCTCCCCACTACCAGCGGGAACTGGGCAGCACTTGTGGATCAAACGGTTCCAAGACTGTTCATCGACTTGAGAAAGAAGTCTTCGTGGGCAGTTGGCGTGCGCTCCAGATTCCTTGAACTTGTAAGTACCAATGCTATGTTTCGTTGACAGTGCCATTTGCAGCACTAGTTTGTTCAATTGCTCAATGCTCAATGCCAACCCTGCAGTTATTCATTCCTATTTGTGTTTTTACTGCAGAGTGAGCACTTGAATCCTGCAAGTGCACAGACGGAGCGGTTAAAAATCATCCAATCAAACAGATACGATTGCGTGTCACGCTATACGGGGACAGCAATCGAAGAGAGATTCGCTCGTAAGACTGGAATGAAGATCCTTGTTGAGGTGAATGAGCATGGAGTTCATTTTTTCAATGCTGCCATGAATGTGTGCTTGTACACTGCACCCCTCGAGGTCGTGCACTGCACTCCCGAAGGAGTGGTGAGATTGGTATTGAATGTTGGATCAACATTTGAGGTCACCGGAGGCGAAGACATTCGTCTCGCCTTCATGGCCTCCAAAGGTGATGGTGGTGGGGAAGAGAGAGAGGGCGCAGGTAAAGCCCTATGGTTACTGTGTGAGTTGGATGAGAAAAGGGAGTTGCTTTCTTCCCTAAAAAAACAGAATCAAGAGCTGGAGGAGCGAAACAAAAAACTCAGCAACGAATTAGTGGTGAGTTATCTGTTACTGTCCTCTTGAAGTTCAGTTTACAGAACAGAATTATCATTCATCATGAATGCTATTGCAGGAGTTGAAATTGAAGGATTCGTAAGCTGGATTTTGCACTGCACCTCGATCCGTTCGCTTCCTCCCAATTTCATGCTCTTTGCCAGGCTTATAAGACGATCTGTTTGGTTGCACGTGGCTGCATGCATTGCCAAAGGACCTGATTAAGTTGAAAATGCTGCACCACTTGAAAGTTGGAGATAGCAGGCACCTCATTGATAGTGAAGCCCGCTTACAGCCCCTGAATTGATGTATAGCTTGTACATAGATTGTACATAGGTAGTGATTTTAGTGCTTATGTTCGGAAACCTGTTTCACTTCTGCTTGCGGAGTATCACCCTGTGGCGGTTTCTCTGATCTTGTCTCACAGATAGGGGGTTATGTTGAGGCTAGAACCGTAGTACTTTTCCTTGTCGTGTGTGGGGCTGTCTAAAAAATCAGGATTCTGCAAATTGGGATCTTCATCGCCTGCTCGCATTTGATTCTACATCGCCATTCCAGTTCTATTTCGATCCAGATGCTTCCAGACACATTCGCTTGCCCCTGCATATATCCATATATGGTGTAAGGGAGGAATCGTAATGTGTACTCAAGACCTGTTTGGAGCTGAAGCAATGCTGCCTTCCCAGTCTTGTTAGGTAAGTCCCGATACCCTTGCTCGCATTCTAGAAATGTGGTTATCCGTATTCGAGCCTTTGCATGCCATTGTATAAGCCTCTCCATGCATCTCTGGTCACATCGAATACCCAACATGTATCTCCATGTATCTTTGGATGCATTCGCATACCCCAGTACATATTCCGATGCATCCCCAGGCATTAATACATATTCTGATACACTGCATGATCCCCAGTATCTTCTCCTTTTCTCCACCTACTCCCCTGCTTCATGGCATGTTGCCGAAAGCAGGGAAGCTGATAGGGGCTCAAGCACATGCTGATGTGGATCAGCCAAAGGTGCTCACTTGGCAACTGCACACACTGTAAGCACATGCTGACATGTTTTTTCCCCATCACCGTAAGCACATGCTGACATGTTTTTTCCCCATCACCGTAAGCACATGCTGACATCTTTTTTCCCCATCACCGTAAGCACATGCTGACATGCTTTTCCCTTCACTGTAAGCACATGCTGACATGTTGTTTCCCCATCACTGTAAGCACATGCTGACATGTTTTCTCCCCTTCACTGTAAGCACACACTCACATGTTTTTCCCCATTACTGTAAGTGCTCACTCTCTCGACATGCCTATGTTTGGCCTGATCCCTCATGCCCAGCCCAACCATAGCCTATTGGCTCCTGCGTAGTCCATCCAACTCTGACCAGGTAGGAATCACGCTGAACAGGCCGACAAACTGGTATGGTTAATCATTGATCTCGCTGGTGTGGCTGATTTGAATGACTAGCCGATATGGCTGGCCTGGCTGATCTTGCAGCTATAAGGCTGAACAGAATTACCAATCGCTATGGTTAATCCATCCAACTGCCTGATGTGGCTGATTGGGTGCTTAGCCGATATGGCTGGCCCGGCAAAAAGCTGACCAGGGCATGTTAAATGGTTATTAGGAATACATGATCCGGCTAGTCTGGCCAATCAGCTTATCTAACTGATGTAGCCGATCAACTGGTCTGGCTGACATAGCTGATCAGCCAATCAGCCGAACTAGCTGAGCTAATCTTGGATTATTTTACTCAATAGCTGATCTTGCTGATTGGCTTATCGTGCTGATATGCTGACCTGCCTGGTCCATGCAGACCGATGATTCTGCTACCTGATTAGGCTCGTCTACCTTGTTAACTAATCTGGCTGGTCCAGATTATTAGCTTAGTGGATGACCCATCTGATTGGTTGAATGGCTGAACTAGCTTATTACCTGATCTTGCCCATTCAGTTGATGGGCTGATCATGTCAATCGCCCTGACTTGTTTATTTTCTGCCGATCTAGCTTTTGTTGATCTAATCTGGCAGATCTTGCTGAATCTCGTTAATCTAGCTGATTAAGAAATCCTGTTCATTAGCTGATACTAGCAGGTTGGCTGATCTTGTGTGATCTTGCTAATCTCGCTAATCTGGATGTTTTTTTCCCCTCCCTCCCTCCCTCCCTCCCTCCCTCCCTCCCTCCCTCCCTCCCTCCCTCCCTCCCTCCCTCCCTCCCTCCCTCCCTCCCTCCCTCCCTCCCTCCCTCCCTCCCTCCCTCCCTCCCTGCATTTCAGCCTTGATATCAGTGTGTACAGCGAGCAGAGTCAGCACCCCAGCCGTGTGTTGCATATGATTGCATGGCACACTGCGCTTCTATGATGAGAGTACTACATTCGTACACCCCAGCCAGGTCTACATTGGTCCATAGCATCTTGTCGCATGTGCTCGCCCTCTCATCCCATGCCAATCATCAGAGAGAAAACTAAACTGTGTTTTGTTCCATTTATATTTTATTATCATGTTTTGTTAAAATGTTTTGTTATTGTCTCGTTGTTCTGCTGCTGCTGCTACCTGCTGCTGCTGGTGCTGCAGGTCATTATTGGCGCCTCATGCCAGCGTAAACATCTGCTGAAGTCATTGTGTGAAATGTTAAACAACAGTGATTGGACTTGTCAGTGAGCAGGAAGTAGAGGCACATGACAGGGAGAATACATGCAATGCAGCTCTACGTTACGCTGTAGGATGTGAACACGGTATGATACATGGCATTCTGTATGAGTGACTCACTGGCGAGTGGCGAGGAGTTCCAGTTATTGTCATGTCGTTTGTTGTACTTAACGTGATACACCAGCTCAAAACTCGCCACTCACATCAGCCACTCACAGCAACACACCATCATTCGACATTCTACAAATGTCATATCTAACTACCGTAAAAGCTAATACTTTTCAGCTGTCTTCTACCTCCACACCACACATTTCTCTTGCTTCTCATCCTCCTACTTCTCACCCTTTTGCTTGTTCTCACCCTCCTGGTCCTGCTCCTTCCCACCCCTCTGCTCCTTCTCACCCCTATCCTCCCCACCCCCCTCCTCTTTCTCACCCCCCTGCTCATTCCCACCCACCTTCTCCTTCCCTCCCTCTTGCTGCGTACCACCCTCTTCTTGCTCCAGCAATTTTGAGAGCTTATGTTGCAGCAGCTGAATCTGTTTCCGCAACTGCTGCTGCTGCTGCGGTGCTTGCTCTTTATCCAGTATCTCTGCCGAGGCTGAAATCCATAACTCTGAAATACAGGTGCTGGCCACAGGAACTTCTGGCTTGTTTGAAGCTTTGCTATGAATCAGTTCGCCCTGTTGCAGCGCTGCAAAAAAATCATCCAGTATGGACTGCACAAGAAAAGCACTCCGATTAGACAAATACTGGAAAGGGCAATTGCAGATCTAAGCAAAATATGTCTACGGTTTTGAGGCATTAAAGATCGTTCTGCAAAAACCATACATTTGCAATTACAAGACTTACCAAGCGTTCGTCAGTGAGAAGTTCCTTGATTGCCTCAGTCCACGGAGACAAGGAATCAGAAGCAACCAGTGACCTTGCTCTAGTCTGTCACAAAGAAAGAAACGGAGAAGCAAAAGAAAGGAAAGGGAGGGGATAAAAACGCGCCATACAAGAGAATGCGTTAGCCTGACTACACAAGCCAGCCTGCTGCCAGCCAGCCAGTCGCCAGCCAGCTTGTCTACATGCCAGCCCGTTAACCAGCCAATCCAAAATTATGACAAGCTTCCTCATCATCAATAGTAATACCTTTACTCCAAGGAGTTTGACGAGCACAGGAGGGCCCCTTCCTTCCTGCTGCTCTTGCGAAAGTTCAGACAATATCTGTGCGGGCCAAGGGCCCACAAATCCATGAAAACGAGCCCATACGACGTCCCCCACGCTGAACATCCTGCTGGGAGTCGCGATCATCGGGGCATGAAATCAATTAAGCACGAAATTAGTGAAGCATGCAATCAGTTAAGCATGAAGTTAGTGAAGAACAAAATCAGTGAAGCACAAAATCAGTGAAACAATAAATTAGTGAAGCATGCAATCAGTTAAGCATGAAATCAGTGAAGCATGAAATCAGTGAAGCAAGAGATTAGCGAAGCATGTAATCAATCAAGCAAGAAATCAGTGAAGCACGGAATCAGTGAAGCATGGAATGGAAACGCTAGGAGCAATAACCTTGACGAAGCGTGTTCAAGAATATGAGAAATAATCAGAGCTCTCATCTGGATGTTGCGTACTCTGAATTGGATGTGCAGACAGATCGGCAAACTCAGCCCTTGAAACGCAAGCATGTGTACCCTGGAGGAAGCGTGTACGGAATCTTAACGGTCCTCTGATCTGAATGCTGTCTGATCCGTATGCTGCGTAGGTATGTTGTATGGAACTCCAGGCAGATCCCAGAACTTCGCAAGCAAGAAGCAGACTGGCAGAAGGAAGCGTGCTTCTGACGCAACCACAAAGTGCCAATCCTTAGACAAGACATCGCTCAAGCGTCCTCGTCAAGAAAGGTCCATCAATCGAGAATCTCCAGAAGCTCGCCCTGAACGCGCATGGAGTGATGGACCTCGCTTTGGGCGTTCCCGCTGACATGCCCTAGGAAGCTCAAGGGGCTCGAGTGATGGACTCGCATACCCTAGGAAGCGTGCTTGTGACCCAACCCTCATTTCGCGGGAAGGTCCATTGCGCTGTGAGTTGAGGTCCGCCTATTGGAGAAAGTTGGCTATGGATTGTTCCCCCTTGAAATTATGAATTGAAACATGGTAACCCCGAGAGTTGATTCCTGATTTGATTCGAGAGTCGAACATGGTTGCGACCGTTGCGACGAATTTGGAAATTTATCTCGCGAACAAGTTTGCTTCTGCTGGTAAAGCGATTGTGATTTGACATGTCGTCAAGATAGTCGCCAAGCGATCGAGCTCCAAAAACAAGGTAACTCAGCTGGAAAAAGTTCGCCTGCTTCTCTCACACCTTTATGACGGGAGCAAAGCCTAGGGAACAACTCCCAGGGGGCTGGACTGGAGCAGCTCTAGGGACTAGCTTAGCTTTCCATGTCGAAGAGCAACTGGCCATGTCAGACGAGCAGCTCGCCCTTGCATGCATAGCTGTCAGTCTACACTTTAACGTTTTCCGTTTTCTTCGCGTTAGGCCCACATGGGGTGGTACAATGCGTCGATCAACGCTCGTCTTGCCAGATCTACTTTTCTACCCCCATCCAGATCTGAATCTCCCATGCACCCCGTTTTCTATATGCCCCTCACTCCGCCGTTTTTTAGATCTTCTGTCTTCGTTTTCCAGATCCGCATTCGTTGCACTCGGCTAAGCGTTCCTCACGGTTAAGAAGTACGTCAACGACAGGCGATCAAACGGACACGGATGGAGGCTTACGCTGCGGGTCGCGTGACCGTGTCTTGGAAGGAGATCGTCGACATGGCTGCGCTCCACGTCATCGTAGATTCTCTTCCTACGTATGTTATTTCCTTTTTTTGTGTGCGGTCTTGTTATTTGCACGGGCTGGGCTGGTTTCTTGCAGAAGGGGGGGGAGGGCTGGTACCTTGCGCGGTGGGGGCTGGCCCCTTGCGCGCCACGGGCTGGCTCCTTGTGCGTTCTTGTTCGTTGAACAATGTTTATACTCCTCTTCTCTTCCATTTATAATTTGTCTTTCTTTTTCCCCCTACAAGTGGAAACTGGGAAAAACTCGTTGAACAAACGGTTCCACGGCCGTTTTTCGACTTGAGAAGGAGAAGCGAATGGGTTGATTCTGTGAGCTCCCGCTACATTGAATTGGTAAGTGCGGCAGCACTATTGGAAGCGCCAGTGGCAGCACTATTTGAACACTCAATTCCTCCCCTTCAAATCTTCATTTCTGTTTCTATTGTTGTCGCAGTCGTACTTGACTCCTGAAGAGGCTAACTTGGAGCGCTTGAAGATCATTCATTCCAACAAGCACGAATGTTCAGTGCGATATCCCGCAATCGAACACCCACTGTTCGGCAACGGATCCAAGACCAAGACCCTTGTTGGGGTCAATGAGAATGGGGTGAGTGTTTCTGCCTTGGTGTGTATGATTGTGACTGTAACGAGTGGGATTGTGACGTGTTTAATTGTGACTCGTGTTTGGTTGAATGTATGTTTGTCCCTCCCATATCATTCTGTGATTATTTCTCACCCGCATGCACACTAGGTACATTTCTTTGAGGATGCCACAAACATTCGCACCCACACTGCACACCTTGATAAGGTTGTAAAGTGTGAGCGCACTTCCGAGGGGGTAATCTTGACATTGGCTGTTTTTCCTGGACTGCAATACACCTATACTGTCGAGGTCAAAGAAGGCGAAGATCTTTGTCATGTCATTTCAGCCTACAAAGCCGATGCGGTTGGTGGTAAGGCTTCTTGCCACTGCTGCTGCTCCTGCAAAGGTGCCGAGTCTCAGCAAGTGGAATGACCGGACGGAGGACGAGGTGTTTGTCGGAGATCTCCTTGCCAGGAAGGGAGAGTTGGAGAGGGGTGGCAGGATTTTGGTATAATTACAATGGCAGGACTATTGGCACGACTATTATCCACACTTTGGAAGCATGGTTCTCTAGTTTTGGAATACAGTCGCTTTGCTTTGGTGCTTGGTTGCTGCACTTCACGGACTGAAGTGTTTCTTTCATCGCTTTGTGAATCGTGATGTGTGGTTTACGTACCGTATGTTATACCAACTAGTTGTCTTTTGTTCTTTTTGTCGGACACACATTGAGTGCAAATGACTTCAGCAGCAAATGACTTCATAAACTTGAAAGACAGCCTTCTGTCCGTTTCTGCCTGACATCCTGCCCCAGTGGCAGTCCAGATGGTTCATCATGTACCCTGTGCCAGAGAAATACCGTATGGCCCCGGATATAGGCGCATATGCGCTTATAATAAATTCATTATTTTTAAGGGGGGCGCTTGTAATTGAGTATCGGCCATAAGCGCCGGCGCTTATATAATGACAATTACAGAAATACAGTTTAAACGCACCAAATTGTACATTTCAGTCTCGAAACTTCAATCGAATCGTTTTTTTTACAGCGTCCAGAATCAGAATCGCGCGAGGGAGATTCTCTGACGGTGCAAAGAGCTTTGGCACATCAGTTTTCCCGTGTGCCACCTCATCCTGACTGGACGCGCAACCAGTGAGGTCGTCGAAAGTCAAACAAAAGTGAAAATGGGTATTGACTCGCTGGAAATTTGAAACTCGTTACCGTTTTAATTAGGATTGACAAAATAAAATTATGCATGCGCTTATAATAAATCAGGGTTTTACAGGGGGGGGCGCTTATAATCGAATTCCGGCCATAAGCGCCATGCTCCAGATAGAAGCGCCGGCGCCTTTAATCGGACGGCGCCTATATCCGGGGCCATACGGTACCATATACCGTATGTGACTTCATGCAAGCTTGTTGCAGGCTTGGATGGAATGTGGTGGCTGGTTGTGTCTGGCTGGCAGGATGATTTACTGCTGATGAGTGAAGTACAGGATATGATGATAGGATAGGATGCCATGCCATCCTCCCTGTCACTACCGTATATCACCCAATCCAAATCCTGGAATGAACAAGTTAGACCAGAGAGAGAGCCTGTGATGGCGAAATTGTGAAAATACCATAGCACGGCTTTCATTCAACACCAAGTTTATAGAGAGTACTGTAGATAGAAAACCACGCTGTTCAACTAGTATTCGCACGAGTTTCAGTTGCATGGCTAACAAGTTTGTGGTAAAAGGGTACATGCTCAGGAGCTGCGTAGTAGTGTACGGTAGATGTCCCAGCCCAGCCAGTGCCGCACGCAAAGTGGAAGGCAGAATGAAGAGGACTCTCGACGATAAGGCATGAGGTGCGGAGCCCGAACTTAGGAGGAAGGAGAGGGAGAAGGAAAAACAAAACGAGCAACGAAACAACGCAAGACTCGAAAGCAAGAGCAGAAAAAACAGCAAAGGACTGACGGAAAGCGAGGAATGGGAAGGCATGGGCATGTGAGAGAAAGCGGGGCAAAGAGCATAAAAGCACAAGTACCAAACGAAGGGACGAAAGCAGGGAGCAACGAATAGAGAACCATGAGGAGAGAGAATGAGAGGAGAGGGAAGAGCAAAGAGAAAGCTGGGAGGAGGGGTGGGGAGGGGGAAGGGGGAGAGGGGAGAGTTGGGTAGAGTTGTTGACAGGTGGAAGGAAATCTGCATCCCCCACATCCCCTAGGAGATATGGTGTGCGGCACTGGCAGAGATGAGATGGTTTTACGGCGCCTAAGAAATGTGGCGTGCAGCACTGGGGGAGGTGGCTGGCAGGGGGTAGTGCTGGTGGGATGAGATGGTTTAACAGCGGCTAAAAATCTACATCCCCTGCGAGATGCGGTGTGCGGCACTGGCGGAGGTAGTGGCAGCGTGCAGAGTGAGGCGAGAGAGTTGCAATGAGGAGTTCAGGTGGCAAGTGGGTGGTTGCAGCCCCCCCCCCCCCCCCCCCCCCCGGGTCGAACGGCATGGAGTGCGGTGAACAGTGGCCGGGAGCGGTGGCTGCAGGCAGGCTGGTACGCAGTGGTTGTAGCGGTAAGCAGTGGTTAAGAATGGTGGCAGTAGCAGTAGCAGTATCCAGTGCGGGGGAATAGTGCAATGAAAAGTGCCCGTGAAAATGTGAGGATCTGAGGTAGGCAGGCATGCTGTGTGGCAAAGCAAGGAGAGAAGCGGCCGTGGAAAGGGCGATGACGACTGCTGCAGAAACGCGAAGGCTGTCTAGTAGAGGCAAATAACAATCAGCATCAAGTCCTGCTCCCTCTCCTCCCTACGCTCCCACTGCTCCCTCTGCTCCCCCTGCTACTCTGCTCCCTCTGCTCCCTCTAATACTCTCTCCTTTCAGTCTGATTTACAAGCATCTCACAGCCACTATGACTCACCCTCCGTTTCTACCCCTCCCAGTTCCTGACCCTCCCCTGCTTATTCCTGCTCCTGTCCGTTCCTGCCTATGCTCCTGCTCCTCACTGCTCCTGCCTGTTCCTGCTCCTTCACCTCTTGAAATCGATCCACCCCTCCTCCCTCTACCTTTAAGCCTCATTTTCCATCGTTCTCAAAACTCATCCGCTCACCTTCACTCTTTTCTCCTCCCTTGACCCTTCTCCTCCCAGCTTCTCCCTCCACCTCCTTCCCACCAACTCACCGCCACACTTCAATGGCACGCACACAGCCCTCATCCCAACACTATCCCAAACACCCGCACCCAAAAGCATCTCACTATTCTTCGCCATTGTTGCACACCCGTTCTCTTGCACCTCATGCGCTCACCCCCCCACATGTTGCGCTCGCCCCCCATATGCTGCGCCCCCTTCCCCATATGCTGCGCCCCCTTCCCCATATGCTGCGCCCCCTTCCCCATATGCTGCGCCCCCTTCCCCATATGCTGCGCCCCCTTCCCCATATGCTGCGCCCCCTTCCCCATACGCTGCGCCCCTTCCCCATATGCTGCGCCCCCTTCCCCATATGCTGCGCCCCCTTCCCCATATGCTGCGCCCCCTTCCCCATATGCTGCGCCCCCTTCCCCATATGCTGCGCCCCCTTCCCCATATGCTGCGCCCCCTTCCCCATATGCTGCGCCCCCTTCCCCATATGCTGCGCCCCCTTCCCCATATGCTGCGCCCCCTTCCCCATATGCTGCGCCCCCTTCCCCATATGCTGCGCCCCCTTCCCCATATGCTGCGCCCCCTTCCCCATATGCTGCGCCCCCTTCCCCATATGCTGCGCCCCCTTCCCCATACGCTGCGCCCCTTCCCCATATGCTGCGCCCCCTTCCCCATATGCTGCGCCCCCTTCCCCATATGCTGCGCCCCCTTCCCCATATGCTGCGCCCCCTTCCCCATATGCTGCGCCCCCTTCCCCATACGCTGCGCCCCTTCCCCATATGCTGCGCCCCCTTCCCCATATGCTGCGCCCCCTTCCCCATATGCTGCGCCCCCTTCCCCATACGCTGCGCCCCTTCCCCATATGCTGCGCCCCCTTCCCCATATGCTGCGCCCCCTTCCCCATATGCTGCGCCCCCTTCCCCATACGCTGCCACCCTTCCCCATATGCTGCGCCCCCTTCCCCATACGCTGCGTCTCCTTCCCCATATGCTGCGCCCCCTTCCCCATACGCTGCGCCCCTTCCCCATATGCTGCGCCCCCTTCCCCATATGCTGCGCCCCCTTCCCCATACGCTGCGCCCCTTCCCCATATGCTGCGCCCCCTTCCCCATATGCTGCGCCCCCTTCCCCATATGCTGCGCCCCCTTCCCCATACGCTGCGCCCCTTCCCCATATGCTGCGCCCCCTTCCCCATATGCTGCGCCCCCTTCCCCATATGCTGCGCCCCCTTCCCCATACGCTGCGCCCCTTCCCCATATGCTGCGCCCCCTTCCCCATACGCTGCGTCTCCTTCCCCATATGCTGCGCCCCCTTCCCCATACGCTGCGCCCCTTCCCCATATGCTGCGCCCCCTTCCCCATATGCTGCGCCCCCTTCCCCATACGCTGCGCCCCTTCCCCATATGCTGCGCCCCCTTCCCCATACGCTGCGTCTCCTTCCCCATATGCTGCGCCCCCTTCCCCATACGCTGCGCCCCTTCCCCATATGCTGCGCCCCCTTCCCCATATGCTGCGCCCCCTTCCCCATATGCTGCGCCCCCTTCCCCATATGCTGCGCCCCCTTCCCCATATGCTGCGCCCCCTTCCCCATATGCTGCGCCCCCTTCCCCATATGCTGCGCCCCCTTCCCCATATGCTGCGCCCCCTTCCCCATACGCTGCGCCCCTTCCCCATATGCTGCGCCCCCTTCCCCATATGCTGCGCCCCCTTCCCCATATGCTGCGCCCCCTTCCCCATACGCTGCGCCCCTTCCCCATATGCTGCGCCCCCTTCCCCATATGCTGCGCCCCCTTCCCCATATGCTGCGCCCCCTTCCCCATACGCTGCGCCCCTTCCCCATATGCTGCGCCCCCTTCCCCATACGCTGCGTCTCCTTCCCCATATGCTGCGCCCCCTTCCCCATACGCTGCGCCCCTTCCCCATATGCTGCGCCCCCTTCCCCATATGCTGCGCCCCCTTCCCCATACGCTGCGCCCCTTCCCCATATGCTGCGCCCCCTTCCCCATACGCTGCGTCTCCTTCCCCATATGCTGCGCCCCCTTCCCCATACGCTGCGCCCCTTCCCCATATGCTGCGCCCCCTTCCCCATATGCTGCGCCCCCTTCCCCATACGCTGCGCCCCTTCCCCATATGCTGCGCCCCCTTCCCCATACGCTGCGTCTCCTTCCCCATATTCTGCGTCTCCTTCCCCATATTCTGCGTCTCCTTCCCCATATTCTGCGCTCCCTCCCCATCCATTTGAAGATTCTCAACAGTTTCAGCACTCCCCTGCGCATGCTGCCCTCACTCCCCCAAACCCACTGCTTCCTCACGCCACCAAATCTTATGCCCCGAGCCTACAGATACCAACACGTGCTCAACTGCCCTGCCGTCCGCAACACCCCTATTCCTCCCCTCGCTCCCCAACAACAACCGTGTCAAGCACCCTCTTTCCTGCTGCCGCCATGGCAGTAATAACAGCCCACGCCTCCTCACGCCACCAAATCCTGTGTCCCGTGCCTGCAGGAACCAACACGTGCTCAGCTGTCCTGCCGTCCGCAACACCTCTAATCCTCCCTTGTCTCCCCAACAACAGCCGTCATGCACCCTCTTTCCTGCTGCTGCCATCACAGTACTAACATCCCACTCCGTTCAGCTGCCCTGCCGTCCGCAGCACCGATTCCTCCCTTTTCTCTCCAGCACCACCATCAAGCATCCCCTTTCCTGCTGCCTTCAGCATTACCAAACCCACCCTGCACGCCACTAATTTCTCTGCTCCGCACCTACACCTACAGGTGCAAACACCTGCCACCAGCTGCCTGACACTACCATCATCCCCTTCTATCCCCCACAACCACCGTCAAGAGCCCCTTTTCCTGCTGCCTCCACCACTTCTCCCCACGCGTCTTCGTTCCCCACAGCTGCCCTCACACCCTCCCCCCCTCCTCCCCCCCTCCTCTCCCCCCCACCCTTGCAACCCGCACTCCCATTCCGCATCAGCTGCTTCGCGCATTCACTCGCCGCACACTCAATGCTGCCCGTTCAATCCCCCACCCCCTCCCCCACCCCCTCCCCCACCCCACACCCTGCACACATTCTATCCCCCAGAACTGCCCTTTCACTCGCCGCACCACCCCACACCCTGCACCTGCGCGCCCTCCAATAACCCAAGTCACACACAACCCAATAACCAGGCCAACGGACCATACACAACCCAACGGACCATGCACCTGCGCGCCCTCACACACATCTCCCCTCAAACACCCAAACCCCCACCCAACAACTCTTGCCCTCGCCCTATCACCATGCAGCCCCGCTTTCCCGCACCCCCCAAAACCCCGATATAGGAGCAAATTCTCCCCACAACTATCTGCCTCCACTCCCCCCACCCGCGCACACCCCAATCGCGCACCCCCACCCCCCACCACACCCCCCTCCACCCCCCTTTTCTCCCCCGCAAACCCCTCTGTCGCATTTAGCTGCTGCTGTCCGCAACAGCGCCGCCCCCATCCGCGGTAGCCTCCACAGCAGCCCCGGCAGGCGCGAATGTGCCGAACCCCCCAGCCCCACCTTCCTCCCCGCGCCCCAACCCTCCCCCCCCGCCCTCCCCCTCGGCGCCTTTAGCTGCTGCTGTCCGCAACAGCGCCGCCCTCATCCGCGGTAGCCCCCGCAGCAGCCGCGGCAGGCGCGGGTGTGGCGAACCTCTCTGCTCGAGCCTTCTTCTTCGCCTCGAGCTCGCTGTCTGCAGGGTTGGCAGGCCTGCCAGATGAATGGGGGAGGGGAGGGAAAGGGGGAGCGTGAGAGAGGTAGGGAAGGAAGAGAGTGCGATTTGTGAGGCGCCTCACAGCTCGCTGTCTGCAGGGTTGGCAGGCCTGCCAGATGAATGGGGGAGGGGAGGGAAAGGGGGAGCGTGAGAGAGGTAGGGAAGGAAGAGAGTGCGATTTGTGAGGCGCCTCACAGCTCGCTGTCTGCAGGGTTGGCAGGCCTGCCAGATGAATGGGGGAGGGGAGGGAAAGGGGGAGCATGAGAGAGGTAGGGAAGGAAGAGAGTGCGATTTGTGAGGCGCCTCACAGCTCGCTGTCTGCAGGGTTGGCAGGCCTGCCAGATGAACAAGAGAGGAAGAGTGGGAGGGGAAGAGTGGGAGATGGAGGGCGGAGAGGACGGGCGTGATTCATGAGAGGAAGGGAAGAAAGAGAGAGTGTGATTCATGAGAGGAAGGGAAGAGAGGGAGTGCGATTCATGAGCCTTCTTCTTAGCCTCGAGCTCGCTGTCTGCAGGGTTGGCAGGCCTGCCAGATGAACGAGGGAGGAAGAGAGGGAGATATGGCGGACACGAAAGACCCGGCATTAGTGGAAGAGGGAGAGAGAGCAGGGAAGAGGTCGATAGGAGAAATAGAGATCGAGTGATCGGGTGCAAGAGAGGAGGACGGGCGAGAGAAAGGGAAAGAGAAGGCGGGAGCAGGGTGCCAGGTGCGAAGGAGACAGCGACGAGCGACATGAAGATTTATTTTTTCAAAACCGGGTAACAAAATTCCAAACAACTCGAGCCACGTGATAAAGGTAGAGTTTTGAGACGTCTCAAAACTCTACTTTTAACACGTGACGAGCAACATGAAGATTTCTTTTCAAAACCGGGTAACAGAATTCCACACAGCTCGAGCCTCGCGCTTGGCAGCTTCCTCCGCACTCAGCGCAGACAGCTGAGTCGCACTTCAAAGACACCCATGCTGGCGCGGACAGAGCGGAGAACTGACCCCATAATCACTCTCCCCAGAAAGACACCCATGCTACCATGCCATGCACCATCCCTACCCACTCACGTGTCTCTCTTCTTATCCCCTCCAGACGCTGCTGCTGCTGCAGCGCCATCTCCCGCCGTGCCAAACTTCTTGGCTCGAGCCTCGCGCTTGGCTGCCTCCTCCGCACTCAGCGTGGAGGGCTGAGTCGCGCCGAACCTGCAGGCAGGAGACGGGATGAGAGAGTATGAAGTGTGAATGACGATGACGATTGCGCCTACTCATAGATCCCACTCAGCGCGGAGAGCTGAGTCGCGCTAAACCTGCACGCAACGGTATGCGAGTATCGAGCCTAAATTAGCAGGGGGTATTGGAGCACAACTACGCAAGGGTATCATTCGGAACGAGGCGAATCTGCCAGATCGGGAACGAGGCAGGCCGGGAATGAAACAAATGGAGCGTACCGTTCAGCGCAAGCCTTCTTCCTCGCCTCGCCTCCTCCGCAGCCTTGTCCGCCTCACTGCTGCTTGAGAGAGGGTTTGTTTTGGTATGCCTCAACACGGATCCGCTTACTGTTCAGCGCCTGGTAATACATCCTTTCTGGGGAGACGTCTCGGAACGAATCTGCTCACCGTTCAGCGCGGGCCTTCTTCCTCGCCTCCTCCGCAGCCTTGTCCGCCTGACTGGTGTTCCCACCCCCACTCGCGCCGCTCGCGCCATTCCCGGCGTCCGTATCCGCTTTGATTCCGAACTTGGCGGCTCGCGCCGCCTTCTTGGCGTCCTCCGCCGCCGGCGCAGGCGCGGGGTCCGAAGAGCCGAACCTGTGAAGCACAGGCAAGCCAAAGACGCACAAGTAGGGCAAAAAGTTGACGCCACAGGCAAAGAAAAGACGCCAGCACCCTCTTGGCTCCCGCCTTCTTGGCGTCCTCCGCCGCAAGCCTTGGAATCCAAAGAGCCGAACCTGTGAGCACAGGCAAGACGCACAGGTAAGACAAAACGAAGATGTCACAGGCAGAAAAAAGACGGCCCTCGCCGCCTTCTTAACCTCCTCCGCTGCCGGCGTGGGGTCCAAAGAGCCGAACCTGAGGGGGCAGGTGAAATAGAACAATGACGTCAAAGGCAGGATGCTGATGTCAACTACAGAACGATGACGTGAGCAAGGACAACGGCCCATGACAAGCAGAAGGATGAGATCACGGGTAGAACGATGACGTCTGATCGCCACAGATGAAGAGTCACCGCACCTCGCTTAGCAGTTCGCGAGTGGCGCTCACCGCTCGGCGCGCAGGCGGCGCTTCTCCGCCTCGCTGATGGTCAGCTCCGTCCCAAACCGCTCCGCGCGCGCCTTCTGTGCTTTGGATCAACTCGGAATGCGTGTTTCAAGGCGACTCAGAAACCCTCAGCAGTCGACTAGAAAATCGTGCGTGACGCTCACCGTTCGGCTCGAAGGCGGCGCTTCTCCGCCTCGCTGATGGTCAGCTCCGTCCCGAACCGCTCCGCACGCGCCTTCTTCTTCTCCAGATTCGCCGCCACCTCGCTCGCCTTCTCGTCCTTGCCCTCCTCTCCCGCCTGCCCGTCCTTGCTCTCCTCTCCGTCCTTCTTCGCTCCGTCGCCACCACTTACACCATCCTCTCCGCCTGCAGCAGCATCGGCTGGTGATGCTTCTGCCGCAACTGCGTCTCCAGCTACTCCCGCATCACCGGCAACATCTGGATTTCCATCATTTTTCGTATCTGGAGCGTCTGAGCTTCCGTTTGCGACGAGCGCGTCGGCGGCAGCAGCCAGCTCAGGGTTGGTCTTATCGGCTTCAGATGCCATGGCGACGGGTCTGAACAACGGGATTGGAATGAGACGACGGAATTCAGCCGGAAGAATTGAGCTCGTGGAGTCCAGGATTCTTCGAATCAGACAATGGGATTTCACCAGTAGGAGAGCGACGGTTGAAAGTTGTCAGACGTTGACGGATTCCGTCAAGTCAGATGCTGAGATTCAGCTATCGGACGAGCTTGATATAAGACGGATCCACGTTACTGAGAGTTGACTGACAAATAAATCGGACCAGGATCAGGACTAATCCAGTCAGGAACGATCTTCTGGGGAAAAATCGACTGAACGCGATCCGAAGCACCAGACAGATGAACGAGATCAACGAAGAGATCACTCGTTTCTAGCAGCCCGGACGATAAAGCGATCTGTCAGTCTTGCCTCCAGAAGCTTCAGCAATTTGGTAGGATGGCGGCGAGAATGCAATCCAGATCAGATGCAGGAAGGAAAGGGAAAGTGACGGAAGGGAATTTGGAAGCAGAAAATCAGGTCTACGGGAAGAAGGGGAGAAGGAAGGGGAAGTAAAATTGTTCCAATAACGAACGTGTCTTGTTTCGCGTGGAGGACTTGATCTCGACAGGGGAAGCTCCCGTAGGCTCCATTGATTCCTCAAAATCCCAAATCCAAGGTCCAATATTCCAGAACGTTGAGTGGCTCGAGCTCAGGTGAACTGTTCTGTATTGGTTTCTGACTGTAGCGCGCTGTAGTGTAGGGTATGGGCCAACAACGAAACGGTTATGACGAAGTAGATTACCAGTTTTTCGTTTTGGCGCTGCTCCAGCCCAGCAGGCGAGAAGGATTCACGAAGCGATTCTGGTAACACCATCTGCAATCCGAAACCCTGCCTAAAATCCTCAACCCCACACATCCAATTTCGAGCTTTCTTTTTCGCCCTGTTTTTCCTCCCACTCCCACCACCCCATATCTATCGCTAGGGTAGGTCAAATCCACTTCTCCCCGCTTACAACACCGTCTTCTTGTAGCGAGCTCCAACTTTTGGTGTAACATTGTTACCCGTCGCCATGTTGTCGGCAATATCGTGGGTCCCGCGCGGCGCGGCGAAACCGTTCCCCAAAACAGCGGAGCTCGACGAGGAAGAGGTCGCGGAGGTGCGCCGCCGCGCAGAGGGCGTCGCGGCCGCCGCCGCCGCCGTAGCTGGCGGCGACGCCGACGCTGAGGACGGCGAGGAGAGGGACGCAGAGAATGACGAAGACGCTGCGATGGAAGAGGAGGAAGAGGAGGAGGGGAGTGAGGAGGACGGGGAGGCAGACGGAGAAGAGGCAGCGGCGGCGGCGGCGGCGTTGGCGGCGGAGATTCGGAAGGCGAAGAAGGGCCAATCGGCGGATGACAGGCTGGCAGACGAGCTTGCTGAGCTGGACATGGACCACTATGACGACGAGGCCGACGCGGCGCCGAACCTATTCGGCACGGGGAAGGGCGTCGGCGCGGCGTATTACCGAACCAACGACGAGGATCCGTACCTGACCAAAGCGGAAGGTGCGGAGGATGAGGACGACGAGGACGAGATCGAAGATCTCACCATACGCGATACAGACTTGCTCATTCTCGCGGCGCGGAACGAGGATGACGTCAGCTTCATCGAGGTGTGGGTGTGCGAGGAGCAGCAGAAGCGGGAGGAAGGGGGGGACGAGGATGACGTGGCACAAAACGACAAGGAGCTCAACATGTATGTGCACCACGATATCATGCTCCCCGCCTTCCCGCTCGCTCTCGCCTGGATGGATTTCAATCCCGCCTCCGCCGCCGCCGCCAGCGCTTCCGCCGGCTCCTCCGCCGGCGCCACCGCCGCCGCGATCGCCGCCGCGGGCGCCGGCGCGAGCGTCCTGGCGCCAGGAAACTTTGTGGCAGTTGCGACGATGGACCCTGCTATCGAAATTTGGGACTTAGACGTTTTAGACGAGGTCGAACCCGCCGCGTCTTTAGGAGGCTTTGTTACTACAACGAGCGGTGCGGGCGGTGATGGGGAAGAGGACGACGAGGAGGAGGAGTGGGAGGAGGTGGAGGAGGAGGAGGAGACGGAAATGGGCGGCGGGGGTTCAGGGTCTAAGAAGGGTTCTAAGGGCAAGAAAGGGAAGAAGGACAAGGGAGGGAAGAAAGGAAAGAAGGGCCGAGAAAGGGAACCAGAAAAGCGCGGAAGCAGCAGCAACAAGGGGAAAAATCCTAAAAAATCATCAGCAGCAGCAGGGGCAGTGGCGGCGGTGCTAAAGGAGGGGAGTCATAAGGGCGCGGTGATGGCTCTGTCGTGGAACCGCGAGTACCGGAGCGTGCTGGCGAGTGGAGGCGAGGACCGGCGGGTGAAGGTGTGGGACATGGCGGCGCAGCGCTGCGACCGCACGCTCAAGCCGCACACCGGCAAGGTGCAGGCCGTGGCGTGGGCGCCTCTGCATGCTACCAGCCTGCTCTCCGGGTCGTTTGACCGCTCCCTTGCTCTGGTGCGTGCCCTGTTGACTCTGGTTTGCCTCTTGTATGGGACATGGTGACTCAAGCCACACACCGGCAAGTGCAGGCGGTCGCTTGGGCACCGCTGCACGCCACGAGTCTCCTGTCTGGTTCCTTTGACCGCTCCCTCGCCCTGGTGCGTGCCCTGTTGACTCTGGTAAGGACATGTGAGTGAAGGTGTGCGACCGAACGCTCAAGCCGCACACCGGCAAGGTGCAGGCGGTGGCGTTGGCACCGCTGCACGCCACCAGTCTGCTGTCGGGCTCCTTTGACCGCTCCCTTGCTCTGGTGGGTGGGTGCTCTCATTGTGCTAGTTTGACTTTGGTTTGGTTGGCGCCGTATTCGCCTTGATGGCTGACGCATGATGTTGGTTGGTGGGTGCTGTGTTGACATCGGTTTGGAGGGGAGGGGGGGTGGCCCTGGTAGGTAGGGAGTTGACTTTTGAGTCGAATCAAAAGTCAACCCTGGTAGGTAGGGGCCCAATTTGCAGGCAGTGCTACCTTCCAACTCAAACTGATGCTTTTCGCCCCCCTGTCGGAAGGTGGGACAAGCTTACTTTCCCACCTTCCCCCATCTCTCCCTATTTCCCCTCCTCGACCCCCTTCCAGACGGACGTCCGGTTGTATGATGCGATAGTCAGTCCTGCTGTGGGGCATTGTTGCAAACGAGGTGACTTTTGAGTCGACTTCAATGTCTTCCCCCTCCTCAACCCCCTTTCCAGACGGACGTCCGGTTGTGTGATGCGGCATTCCTGTGATATGAGTGAATTTTTTAGACGTCTCAAAAATGTGACAGTCCCGCTGTGGGGCATCGTTACAAACTTAATCTCCCCCACTGTCGATCCCTCCCTCCCCCTTCCCCCCACCCTTCTGCTCCCCCTCGCATCCAGACGGACGTCCGGTCGCCCGATGCTACAGTGCTGCGGTGGGGCGTCTCTGCTGACTTACTTCTCCCCCCCTTTCCCCCACTCTCCACCCCCCGGCCTCCCCCTCCCCACTTCCCCCCCCCCCACCTCTCCCTCTCCGACGGACGTCCGGTTGCCCAATGCTACGGTGCTGCGGTGGGGCGTCTCTGCTGACCTACTCCCCCCACTCTCCCCCCGCCCCCCCGCCCTGCCACCCTCTTTCCCCCGCAGACGGACGTCCGATCACCCGATGCTACAGTGCTGCGGTGGGGCGTCTCTGCAAACTTACCTTCCCCCCACGTCCCCTCACTGTCCAACCCCACTCCCCTTTCCCCCCCTTTCTCCCTCCCTTCTATCCCAGACGGACGTCCGGTCACCCGATGCTACAGTGTTGCGGTGGGGCGTCTCTGCTGACGTGGAGGCCCTCGCATGGGACCCACACGACAGCACCCGCTTCGTCGTCTCTTCTGAGGACGGGCTCATCTGCTGCCACGACACGCGGGCGGGCAGCAGCAACGCCTCAGCCGCCGCCTCAACCGCCAGCTCAGCGTCGCCGGTTTCGTCTTTTCCGAACGCTGTCTTCACGATCCATGCGCACACCAAGGCGGCATGCACAGTGTCTTGGAACCCTAAAGCCCCGAACCTACTCGCGTCTGGTTCGACTGACAAGACTGTGAAGCTGTGGGACCTTACAGGGAACCAGGCTCGGTGTTTGGAGTCGTCAAACCCTAAGCTGGGAGCAGTTTTCTCAGTGGCGTTTTGCGCGGATGCGCCTGGTTTCCTGGCGATGGGAGGGTCGAAAGGGAAGCTCAAGGTGTGGGACACCAGAAGGGTTGCTGATGTGGGACAGAGGTTCGGTAGAGTGGTGTAAGCATGGCATTACCGCATGTTGTGTGACTAGAATGGCCACTAGTCGTACCGTAGCAAATGTGCCTGTGTTCCTGGCGATGGGAGGGTTGAAGGGGAAGCTGAAGGTGTGGGATACCAGAAAGGTCGCTGATGTGGGACAGAAGTTTAGAGTCGTGTGAGTATGGCATTTATGTAGTGACAAAAAAAAAACACTTGGCTGGTTGTATGTTAGCAGTGTGACTATACGCATGGCATGTATGTTGTGATTAGGACCATCACTACCTGTATGCTGGCAGCGTGCCTATTCTCGAATTTTTTGAGTTGGTAGTTTGTGAAGGGTCTTTTTGGCATAGCTACTTTCAGTCACATCATTCCAAATTCACCATGATTTGTGGACATGTTTTACATAGCTGGTCAAAATTCCTAGTGGAAGGTAAAATATTGTTTGTGTGAACATTTGGATATAATTATCTAAATGTACGATTTCAGATGCTACGACTTGTCATTTTGAGGGCTCCCCCTCTCCAGTCAACACCGAACCAGGGTTCTTAGTTGGTCAAGAAATGCGGCGGCGCGCTATTGGAAGGCTCTTGCTTGAGCGGCTTCTCTACCCTGGGCAGAACTGCTTTAGTAAATTGACGCAGACTAGTCAGGAGCAAATGGGTTTCTCCCTAGCACCAAATGGTGGACTCTGGAGCAACGTTCTGGTACAGTATACAGTTCAAGTTAATGTTTGGGTCAGCAGAAAATTATAAGTCCTCGTTTTTTTTTTTTTTGCTGACTGGAGAGAGTGGACCTGGACAGGCGGTGCCTGCTCTTTCCACCGTGGTACACTCGGGCAGAGCGAAACAACGGCGGCGACGGTGGGTTCGTGCGCCGCCTTCATCACCGAAGCTGGTCGCGCAGACTCGGCGCTTTAGAAGCGATACTTACCGTCCATTGCCTCGACTCGCCTCATTTCAATCGTCGATGTGCCCCTCTCTCGCCCCTTTTTTCTGATAATGACCGCGTTTCGACTCTACGGACAGGTTGAAGCTGGAATGTTTTCTCTTGCGTCAGGGACTCATGGCCAACAATGACAACCTTCCCCTTCCCCCACTTCCCCTGAGCTGCGCCCCGACGATCCCCCCTACCACTCTCCCCAAACCCATTCTGCTCCAATTGACCAGAGCCTGCGACGAATTCATTTCTTTTTGCCATCAGCTCATACAGTAGCAACATTGAATGGTCGCACAGGGGCGATTTCTACATGACAGACCACGACTGAAACGTCGCAGAGGGGAACTCTCTCTGTCGCCCGTGCATTCCCCATCTCTCATGGGCCCCTCGTTCCGCTCGCGCGGATGGGCACTCGCGCGCCCACGCACCCCGCCCGTTCCGCCATTGACAGTCGGCCCTTTCCGCCATGGAATCTCACCACTGTGCGCCTTCCGACTTTATCCACCAGGCACAACTTCTCCTCGGGAGTACCAACTGCTTCTGAACACCTCCAAAGATCGCAGCCAGGTGGTGTGGTGAGCTGATGTGCTCGGTAATCAATATGCTCACTCACTGATTCCTCAAGCTTGGTTGCTGTTTTGATAGTTTTAATGGCGGTCTAGAATGATTCGCTGCATTCTCGTAAACTTCGATATTTATCAGCTCGGTAATTCACGTGTCTCGACGACTTATCTCTACGTCTCACGAAATCATACGATCGTTCAGTCTGGATTGTTTTTTTTAACGTTGAACCTCGTACACTCTTGAAGCTTGTTCGACGTTGAAGCTGGTCGTTCCTGAGAAGCTTTAGTTTCTGCGTGGCGTTCATCGAAGATGCATCTTCGATCGACTCAAAATCCTTCTCAGAACTCACCTGGTCCGCTGTATCGAATTCACCGAGCCGCTGATTCAAAATCACTTGGTTAACATTTCGTCGCCGAACGTACTTATACCACATGTGCGAGTTTAGGTACCCTTTGCTATAAGTGTACGTTTGCCGATCACGCGGATAAGAAGGACCTTACAATCATGGCGTGCACGCACTCATTCCGCGTCGACCGCGTCAGGTCGATTCTCCTGATCCTTTCGGTATCACTGACGGTGCTTTGCAGACCAGCCGGTGGGAATTTCAGACCGTCAAACCTAGTCAACGTAGTGGCAGTAACGTCTAAGCGTTACATAGTAGGTACTAATAGCGGCGGTAGTAGTGGAGGTGGTGGTGGTAGCAGTATCAGCTCACAGACTCAAACCTCTCGAAGCTCCTCCTCCGGTATCGTCGCGTCGCTTCGAAGTCTCACATCAAGTAGCGATCCCACAAGATATTCCAATTCGGTCCATCGACCACAGTCGTCGGTAGCTGGACAATCAACGGTCATGGCAGCGGCTGAAGCGACGAAGCGATCGCGGGAGCTGCGGATCGCGCGAAGCTTCGCCGTAGGGCAATGGAATCGCCGGAAAGCGCTGCCGATTCGGTACCACGGCGGGTGGGTGATGGCGAAGATCCCGATCAAGGTCTTTATTATCTACTACGGCTCGTGGTCCTCGTCAGAAGTTAACATCGTGGAGAATTTCATCAACTCGCTCTCCAACAACAACACCACGCCTAAGGTAAAACTCGAAATTTCTTGAAGTTTTCGAGGGTGAGTTTCAACGGGGGTTCTTGAGTGTACGCGCCTTTTTATTAACTCGCTCTCCAACAACAACTCGCGTTTTTTAGGGACTCGAGGGTTCTCGGCTAAGTTCGTCCGTTCAGAGTTTCTTGTGTACGTAAATTCGTTCAGATTTCTCGAGCAAGCACACCATCATCGTGTTTTGCCTGCTCTGTTCCGCTCCTCACGCGCATCAACCTACGCCTCACTCCCCGCGCTTGAGTCGACTAAAAAATCCGCTCATCGGCGCTCTGTCTGTTTGTGCGCGTGTGTGTCTGTCTGTTTGTGCGCGTGTGTCTGTCTGCCCGAATGTGCGAGCAGGACGCGAAGGCGGTGAGCGCGTGGCAGTGGTGGCAGATCAACCGACCCGTTATTGACAGTGTTGAACATGTTGCTTAACCATACTGTGCGTGCGTGCGTGTGTCTGTGCCCGTCTGTGCGTGCGTGCGTGCGTGCGTGTGTGCGTGTGTGCGAGCAGGACGCCAAGGCGGTGTCGGCGTGGCAGTGGTGGCAGATCGCCACGTGGTACACCATGAAGCGGGGCACTCAGACGGTCTCCGTCTTGCCGCGCCTAAACTGTCTCTCTCTCTCTGCCTGTCTCTCTCTATACCTGTCTCTCTCTCTGCCTGTCTCTCTCTCTCTCTGCCTCTCTCTCTCTCTACCTGTCTCTCTGTCTGTGGGTATGTGCAGGATGCCAAGGCAGTATCCGCGTGGCAGTGGTGGCAGATCGCCACGTGGTACACCATGAAGCGGGGCAGCCAGACGGTGTCCGTGTCGTCGCAGGTAGTACGTCGCCCGCTGTCGTCAGGTCGCACTCGTTTGTTCGCGGGTCGCTCATGGCAGTTGGGAATGGCTGAGTCACACTTCACTTCGGTTAACGCTCTTTTCGCTCTTGCGTACGCACCTGCACGTCTGCACGTCTGCACGTCTGCTCGCCTGCTCGCCTGCTCGTCTGCTCGCCTGCTCGCCTGCTCGCCTCCTCTCCTACTTGTTTCTTCCTAAGTCAGATAGATGTTCCCTCCCCTCTCTTCCTTACCCTACCTCCTGACCCTATCCTCGTTACAAGCAGGTCCAGTTCCGCAAGCGAGTATTCGACAAGTATTCGCTTGGGAAAGTGATTAAAGACGACTTGGGAGGCGTCTGGCAAAGTGAGATCTCCTTTGCTCTCTCCATCTTCGCCAGCTTTCGCCCATCTTCGTCTACCTTATCCCATTTTTATTACCGTTGTTCGTGCATCCCCCCCATCTCCCTTCCCCCTTCCCTCTCTCTTCTCTCATTGGTGTGCCCATTCCGCCACCTCTCCTCTCACAAAATCTTCCTCCTTTATTTCCGCTTCTCTTCCCCTCCCAACCCTTCCATCACTCCCCTTCCCCCTCTCTTTCCTTCTCTCTCCCCCTCCCCTTCCCCTCCCCCAGTAATCGACCAGCAATTGCGCATGCGGGCCCTTCCCATCGACAGCTCAGCGCAATACCTCGTGCTGACGAGTGCTGACGTGGCGCTGGGCGACCGCGAGAAGGGGTTTTGCGGGCGGTCGGGGTACTGTGGGTTCCACTCGTTTGCCACGGATGGCGTGAGCTACATCAAATATGGCTTTGTGGGGAACGGCGAGAAGTGCGGCACGCGGTGCATGCGCACAGGAGGCAGCAAGTGAGTGTTTTCTGTGTGTGCTGCGTAGTTGTGTTGTGTGTGTCCATTGTGTATCAAGTCAAAAGGGGTACTGTGGGTTCCACTCGTTTGCCACGGACGGCGTGAGCTACATCAAATATGGCTTTGTGGGGAACGGCGAGAAGTGTGGGACAAGATGCATGCGTACAGGAGGCAAGAAGTGAGTGCTGCGAGTGCGTGTCCGATAGGGGAGGTTTCTGCACCCACCCATGCACACACATGAACACACATGCACACACATGCACGTATATGCACATACATCCGCACACATGCACACTCCCTGCCATTTGATCACCGTTTTCTCCCCGTCACCCACTCCCTACCTCCCCCACCCCACCCGTCGGCAGGAAACACCCAACGGCAAGCGGGGAGTGGATGGGATGATAAGCATTGTGGCTCACTAGGTGGTGGAGACGGCCAGCAACCCACGCATACAGAGGGGGGGTGGTACGATGCGCTGGGAGCTTACCTCTTGCCACCCACTCCCATCCCCCAACCGCAGGAAAACGCCCAACGGCAAGCGGGGAGTGGACGGCATGATCAGCATTGTGGGGCACGAAATGGTGGAGACGGCCAGCAACCCGCGCATAGAGGGGGGGTGGTACGACGCACTGGGAGCAGAGAGCAGCGACAAGTGCATGACTGATTTCGGGCCCTCGGTGACAGTGGGGGGGAATGGGTACAGCTACAACATGGTGGGGCAAGGGGGCATGCAGTGGCTGGTGGAGAGTAACTGGCGACCCGTGGAGCCACAGGGTTGCGCCATGGCGCGGTACTGAAGCGTTCAGTGCGGTGCTGACTGGTGCGTTACGGCGCTGTACGGAGGAGTTGAGTGCGGTGGGGGATGGGGGCACAGCTACAGCATGGTGGGGCAGGGCGGCATGCAGTGGCTGGTCGAGAGTACTGGCAACCTGTGGAACCACAGGGGTGCGCCATGGCACGGTACTGAGGGGTTGGATGCGGTGCTGATGTGGTGCCTCATGGGTGCTGATGGGGCACAGGTACAGCTACAACATGGTGGGGCAGGGCGGCATGCAATGGCTGGTGGAGAGTAACTGGCGACCTGTGGAGCCACATGGGTGCGTCATGGCGCGGTACTGAGGGGTTGAGTGCGTGCTGGCGGGTGCACCATGGCATGCCGCGCTCCATTGGTGGCGGTGTGGGGTTGTGCTGCTGGCTTTGAAGTTATAACTGCTCCTGGTCGCGCAATGACCAAACCAGAGATGGGAGCTGTATGGATGAGTTATTAGTCTAAAATCACCTGAAGGGCAGTGTAGAGAGAAGTTATTGGACGGTAGTACATGCGGTGTGGAGGCTGAGAATATGAGATCTGGCTAGGCTAAGGTTACTCTGCGCAAGCAGTGAAGACAGAAGCCAAGGTGTGGCCTTGCTGGCATGGCTGCTAACACACTAACAGGTTTTGGTGCATTTTTCTAACCCAGTATGTGTGTGGCCCACGTAGCTGATCTGGTTTTGACATTATATGAAACTCCTTCGGCAAGGCTGTGCAGAAAATTCAGTGGGTTCTGTGGAAAGCCTTCAATGTTGTAACGATATTAAAATAAGAGGAATATCTCAGATTCAAAAGGAAAATGAAAAGCACACAGCTCATTGTCCTAACCCCACCAAAACATCCGCCCCCTCTTGCACCATACATTTCCCCCTCCATAGCTACCCAGGAGCGGGAGGTGTATAATGCGAGAGATTGCCATAACAAGTAAAGAAGCACACAAAAGCGAAGCCCTCTAGTTGCCGACCAGCACCGTTTGGCCGACCAGACCCACACCTCCACAGCTGTCAGAGGCGTTTCCGAACCAGCACTGCTCCTTCGGCTCTCGAACCTCCGTCTGCTGCGAACCCGCGCGCGGGGCTCCATATTGCAGCCAATCACCGACTGAACCCGAGCCTGCGACACACGCGTCTGAGCCTTCGCAATCGGTCACAAAATCACCAGCCTCGTTTTCCGAGTCTGGGTACCTCGAATCAGCATGCGAGCTGGTTACCAGGCGGGAGCTTGTAACTGAAGCAGGAGCGCTGCCAGGCCGAGCGGGAAAGGAGGGAGTGGTGGCGGAAGCGGCGGCAGAAGAAACGCGCTTCATGGGGGAAAAGAAAGATAAGATGCTAGAGGCGGCGGAAAGCGCGGAAGCGGTTATGGACGTCCTTAGCTGATGAGTCTGAACGGATCTTTTGCAGGCAGTACTGCCGGGGGAGGTGGTACTGGGGAAGGTTGTATCTGTTTGCGAAGAGGTTGTACTCGCAGGGGAGCTGCTGGTACTGGTGGCGCCGACGCCAATGCTGCTTCTATCGCTGCTGCTACTATCGAAGCCACAGCTGCTACTGCTGTCGCCTCTGGCGATCTCGCTGCCGCTGTCGCCTGCGTCGCTGTTGTTACCGTTACAGCTGCTGTTACTCGTACTGCTGCTCCACCGACCGCTACCAGTGAGCGTACTCGCCAGAAGCTGAGGTAAGAAGAAACCGTACGACCGCGAGAACGAAGTTTCATCTCCCTCTGAAGAAGATTCCTCCACGTGCAGCTGCTCATGCAGCACGTTACAGTACGAGGAGAACTCCGTTTCAGTTACATTCAGCTGAAAGTTGAGCCGGAATAGAAACTCCAGCTCTAAGCGGTTCATCTCCTCTATCGAGATCCCCCCGACTTTCGCATAATACGCGTTATTGTAGTACGCATCGTCCATAAACTTGGCCGCTACAAGCACACTCGTTATAAGCAGCCGGTGGACGTTGAGCGTCGTTATAAGCATGGCGTCTTTCCGTTGCATGATCCGATCGATGTAAATGTAGGCCATCACGTAGCACGACGGGCTGCATCGGGCGTATTTGAAGATTCGGTCGAAATACTTCTCGATGCTGATCCCGGGTGACCGGAGTCCGTCGAAAACGGTCAGCTGTCCCGGGTGGTCCTCGGCGCAGCTCGCGCCGCAGTTTCCGGCGCTGTCACGGGCGAGATTCGCGCTGGAGATGGATTCGTTGCTGGCGACGATGTGGTTGAGGATCGTGGTGAACACGTGGAGGACACGTGGCTTGTCGGTGAACGACAGCGAGTCGATGTCAAGTGCGGCGAAAGCGGGAGTGCTGCTCGCGTCTTTCGTGAACATCACCCGTGGAGCTGTTTCTGCGCGAGCCGTGACCATGCCGGTGGTTTGTGTGCGATGCTCGACGCCTGAGACTCCAATGGCGCCTGAGTTTCCCAAGCAGTCTAAATCTCCCCTGGTGGCGCCCATGGCTTGCGGCGAACAAACGAGCTGGATCGGACGGAAAGCGCGACGACTAGCTTCAACGAAAGTCGTGAGGAAGAAAGAGGAGGAGTCGACTGATTTTGGCTGGTTTGAGCTGAGGAATTGCGAGTTGAACGGTAACGAAGTGGAAATATATGCATTTCAGCGACACGGGTGCTTTTGCTTCTTGCGCTTGCCAATGGAAGGAGCAGCAGGTCACACAGAGGGGAGGGGTGTTGGGGGAGGGGTAGGGGAAGAGGGTGAGAGGGAAGGGGAGGAGGGAGATCGGCGGGGCCATGTGACAGGACAAGACTGTGGGCGATGTGGTAGGGTGGTCAGACCGGGGGGGAGTTGGGGGAGGAGGGGGTGGCGGGGAGATTAGACGATGGACGCGTTTGGTCGTGCAAAAGGCTTTCTGACCTGTGCGAATCTGAACGAGGAAGGGCGAAAATGCTGCTCATTCCGGAGAATCCCAGCCATTGACGGAAACCGAAACGCCCTACATGAAACGGCCGGATATGTCCAGATGAAACAAGGCTAGCTAGGCTCCTAGGTGAATGACACGCGGAGAGGGCTAGCTAGACGGACCGCGAAAAGTAGCCGCCAGGTACGTAGACATCGCCGACGATGGGATAGGTTGAGGTGGGTGCGGAAGTCAGACTGGCGAAAGTTCGGATGCCCCAATGAGGTGCGACATTCACAGGGTTACCGCGCTTTCCTCGTTAAAAAGGCGGGATTCGGTAATGACCTGGAGCGACTCGAATGTGGTCACCCTTGGATTTCGGGTTGGCGGCTGGTTGTGTGACGTAAGTGAACAGTTGGTGAAGGGGTGAAAAGCACGATCGGTCGGGCAGGGCAGTACCGGGCAATCATTTTGCTTGCTGAGGTGTTTTCGTTTGTCAAGCGGGAAACTCTTTTATTGGCTGGACCAACATTTGCTGGCTGAAGTGTTGTCGCCTGCTAAGCGCGAAGAGCTCCTATTTGTGGTGACTACCTTGGAATCTCGGATTCTCGTCTGGGTCGTAGTCACGAACCAGAATTGGCTTGGAAGAATAAAATCATGTTTGCACGTCCTTTTTGCACTTCGCAACGGAAACTGGGTAACTGTACTACACTTCTTTTCGTCGGACAACACTCCCCCATTTCTTTCAGACCACCCACACGACAATCCACGGTACAAACAGTATACGATAAAAACACATCATATTCTCATACGCATCATCCTATAGGCCCACATGTACACTAATGGTAAAACCATAAAATTTCTGCAGTCAAAACAGCAAACACATAACAACGGGGTACACACCATGTTCTATCTCTAGACACGTTACCTTAGTTTACCTTGAAACAACACGCGCGATATCTTTATCTACCTTCTTGATCTGAGTCATGTAGTCGTCAACCTGCACAGCAAACACACACCCTTTCAGTTGATGCAATCAAAGACAGGAAATGAGGGTGCTCCCATCTATTCCCCCTCTCCCCTGCTTTCACGCATTTCCCTCCCTCCCTGTTCTCTCTCCACTCCCACCACTTCCCCCTCCCCCCCCACCCATAACTAGAGATGCACACCTGTTCTTGAAGACCCTGTGGCCGCCTAGCCCCGATCTCCCGAATCACGAGTTTCTCCAATCTCGCCTCGAGCTCCCGAACCTCCTCCTTGTGCCGTCTCCGAGCCTCCTCCAAAGCTGCAACTAGAGGAGCCTCGGCCCGCACCGATCTCACCCGAGCCTCTGCAGCGTCGGCCCGAGCCACCGCCACTGACTCTCGTAGCTTCCCAACCTCTTGCTCCCGAGCCTTCCTTTCCTCTGCCAGGGCTTCCCGAACCTCAGCCAGCTGCATTTCCAAACCTGGAATTTCCTGTGTCATTCTTCCAAGAAGTGCAGCCATTTCCTTCTGTTGCCGATCCTCCTCTTCCAAAATTCTCCTTGCATCAATCAACTGTGCAGTCAGCTCCCGAAAAGTTTCCACGTCGACCGACTCGCGTTCCTGCTCCATTTTTTCCAGCTGCGTGCGAAGGTCCTGCACAACTACAGTTTTTTCTTCTGCCCGGAGCTTGGCCTGAAAGAGAGTAGCTCTGGTGGTCTCTATGGCTCGGCGTACTTCCAGCAAAGAAGACTCAAACGAGGCGACTCGCCCTGAGAGTTCTGCTGCTGTGGCTATTGCTGTTGCCACTTCTGGCTGGTGCTGCTCCCTCTCAGTCTTCATTCTGATGCAAGGGAGGCAAGAGACAACGGGGAGGTAAAATAAAAGCTCCATAAGCTGAGTTTTCATAATAATTTTCATATAGATATATATATATATATACGTATACATATATAATGCATTTTGTTGCTGTTGTTTTGATGGAATGCGATGCGATCTCCCTGAGCAGGGCAATGGTTGCAAGCAATACCTGCCAGCCTCTCACAATAACCCTCCCTCCCATCCCTCCCCTCCACTGTCCTCCCACTCTCCTCCCCCTTTCCTCCCTGGCCCCTTCCCCCTCCTCACCCGCCTGTCATCTCTCCTCCCCCCACTCCCAGACACACACTTACCCCTCCAGAGCAGCAGACAGCCAAACAGCCGTCTCTGATCCCATCGCTTCCCCTGCCTGGTACCCTCGCGCCTCCCGCCCCTCCCCTCCCCCCTGCTCCTCCAGCTCCCTCCGTTGCAGCTCCTCCGCTCTACTCACATCCCCCTGCAGCCGCGCCCACTCCTCGGCGCGCCTCTCCTCCTCCGCCTCCCCCTCCTCCGCCTCCGCCCTTGCAACCTCCGCCTTCAGCTTCCCCCTCTCCTCCTCCACCTCCCCCCGCCTCCGCTCCAACTCAGAACTCGTCTCGCGCACCTTCCCCCACTCCGCGGCTAGCGCCTTCCGCGCGCCCGCGTAAAGCGCCCTTTCCTCCTCGACCTTCTTAGCCTGCGCCGCGATCTGCGCTTTAATCTCCGCAAGCTCCTCCTCGCGGCGGCTGCGCTGCTTTATCACGTGCTCCGTGACCTCTTTTGTCAGAACCAACTCGTTAGTGAGCGCCTCGATTTCATCCTGAGGACGCATGTTGGGGCACGAGAATCTTATGCGTTTAGACTATTGACAATCTCGCATCCCTCATCAGTACTATACCCAGTGTGAAAAAAACACTTCAGCGTTTCATTTACCCATTTGACAAACGACTCAACAAAGTGGCCCTCCCACTCCTCTTCACTCCTTCCCCCAACTCTGATATCTAAAAATGCTTGTTCGGGTCTGGTTATTTCCTTCTCCCACTCCCAGCAGCTCACTCTCTGATTTGTTTTCAATCCTAACATCTGAATAGCCAACTTATCACTCACCCTCAATCCCGCCATTTCCTGCGATTGTCGTCGCATGACCTGTCCTTCGATCTCCGCCACGCGTCGCATCGTCGCGATCTCAGCCGTCTGATCCACCTCGATCCGCGCGATGCGCTCCTCGTACGACGAAACCGCGGCGGCCGTCGCGTCTTTAATCAGCCGCAGCCGCTCTGCCTCCCATTGCTTCCGCCGCGCCTCCAACTCCGAGTCGCCGGAAGGCCCGTCGCTCACATTCCCGTCGCCGCTGCCGTTCCTTGATTGGTCGACGACCGTTGCGACGCTCGCCTGCGACTGCGCCTGGGGCGCTACGGCCTGGAGAATGGAGCGAGGCTTGAAAGATGACGACTGGAAACAAGGGACGCGGGAAAAGGGGGTAAAGAGGCCGTGAGGGAGGGAAGGGAACGAAATTGTGAGTCATGGGCGAATGACGATTTCTGCTGCACTTTCTACGGAGGATGCTGGTTGTGCATGAAGGGGAAGGGGCAAATAGGATGAGATTGTGAGGGAGTAAAGGGCCAGCGGGAAAGAGCAAGGGCCTAATAATTATTAAAATGAAAATTGCGGACTGAGAGCTCTTCGGGCAGGTGAGACGGAATCCGGAGGTTCGGGAAGCGAAGGGACGCCCACCTTTCGGTTGCATGATGGGAAGCGCGATGACGTGGGAAAAGCGCTAACATGTCCCAGCCTGTGCGGCAGGAGAGAGCCCTGCGGTACGCGTATCGCGACCATGGAACCGGCGGTCTGTAGGCGAACTGTAGTGCAGCCCGCCGTAGCGGGAGACGCCGCAATAGCAGCAGCAGACATAAGGAAGCTGTGACGCGACTAGAACTGAATGCTCGGATAGATTTAAGAGCAAGGTCGTCTTGAATGGCTGAGACAGAGGCATAAGACGGAAAATGGCAGCGCTCGCTGTGCTGTTATGGAGGGAGCAAAGAATCTCGACTGTCTTCTAGAAGGAAACACGAATGCGGCCGAAATTCTTGTAATGAGAAGGGGGGAAAGAAAAGGGAGGATTGGGCTCAGTTCGGCAGCCAGGGGGAAGCAAATTTTTGGAAGATAAGGGGAAGGTGAGGCGCGCGTCAAAGCCGGGTCAACGAATTTTGACCCTGGTTTGACCGCTCCGCGGACAACCTGCGCCATGGGGGAGCTGGCGCAGGTTGGAGGGGGAGGTTGGGAAACAGCACCGCATGTCTAGGCACATTTGCCTGGACATTCGAATGTCCCAGGGCACTGATGTCCCTCCCCTCACGAATCCCTGCCTGCCCAGTCCCATCCCATGGTATTACCGATAGCCTGTTCCTCCACCTACCCCCGACTATGTCGCCACCTAGGCCATCACCTAGGTTTCTAACTAGCGCGGATAACAGCAGACCCAGCTTACCTTCGTACTATACCGGACGACTGTCAAACCGCTGCCGATTAGGCTGGTTCCTGTCAATCGACTTCGTCTCGGCGCCAGGTAAGTCGGTTTTCCTCCTCGTCCTGCTTCCGCTGCTCACCTTGCTCACCTTGATCACCTCGATCTCATCTGCTAACTCTGTGCCGACATACAAGGAACAGGTCGCGAGTTTGACATACCGAAACACACCCCGTCTTAGCATCCTCCGCGCTTCCCATCCCAGCTTCGCCTTTTGCTTCCCTTTTTTGAACTCCCACGGATCTTCCCGCTCGACGGCCCGGCGGACCTCGCTCGCATTTCCACGCCTCGACCTCCCGCGCTCGCGATGGCAGCGAGGAGCCTCGCTTAAGCTGCGCTGCCGCCTTGAGACATTTCAGCACTGCTGGCCGCACCCTACGGCTCCCGCGCCGCTGCCAACGGATAACCCCCCGCCTCCGGATAACTCCCCGCCTCCGCCAGGAACTTGGCACTGCGTACACGCGTCGTTTTTCGTCGCTCTCCCCCCTCTCGCTCCCGCGCACACATGGAAACGCTTGAAATGTTACTGCTGGCTCTGCTTAATGGTGCTTCCCTCCCGTTTACGTACACCCCACTTCCTCCTCCGACTCGCCTGCTATTTTCCTCGCCGAGACTCCGACCCGCGCGCCGCCTCGGACCTGCGCGATCCGGTTATACGCGCACCGTGCTACCGCGCGGTTAACATCTCACCGTCGCCCTTTTTGTATTTTTGGCAGCAGTGGCAACCTCAAGCCTGTCTGCGCTACCCCACCTTCGCATACTTACAGGTAAGCGACGCTGTACACCCTCCTGCCCTTCTCAGTCTTTCTCCGCTCTGCCGTTTCTTAAAACCTCATGGCTTCATACTTCCCCGCTGTCTCCGCCATGTCCCTCTCCCTTTCGCTTCGATGCTCCCCACCTTGCCGTTCTACCCCTGCGTATGTGCCTTACCTTCGGACTCGGGCTGCCGTTTAGGCGCCCAGTCTACCCCTGACTCGGAATGCCGATTAGGCGCCCAGTCTACCCCTGACTCGGAATGCCGATTAGGCGCCCAGTCTACCCCTGACTCGGAATGCCGATTAGGCGCCCAGTCTACCCCTGACTCGGAATGCCGATTAGGCGCCCAGTCTACCCCTGACTCGGAATGCCGATTAGGCGCCCAGTCTACCTTCGTGAATCGCTGTGGCCAACGCCTTTGCGTTCACACCCTCGCACTTGACACTGTTTGCGATCGGCCCCGTGACTCGGGAAGCCCCTCGGGCTCCCAGTCAGCTCTCTTAGACCGCCCTGGTCACTGCTCTTGCAAGTGTCTGCTTGACCTCCCCCCCAATCCCCTGTGCCTCGCGGCCCTTGGTTTCAACCTGCCTCTCACGCCTGCACGCTTGGACTATCGCCCCGTTCGCCTGTCCAGCCTTTTTGCCCTGCTTCCGATGTTGCCTAATGACTCGGCTAGTGACATACCCCTCACCTCCCTCAGATGCCCCCCCTCTTCCCCTCCCATGCTCGTGCCCCTCCCCCATACGACGCTGCCCGAAACCCTTCCCCTGGGGCAGCCTCCTGCCCCAGTGGTGGCTCACCGCGACTGCCTCACCTCCTACCTTCCCTACCCCACCCCGCCCTTGCACCGCCCCTCTGTCCCCCTGGATAATCCTTCCCCCCTCAGGCCTCTCTGGTTCCACCCTGGGCTCTCAGGCGGCCCTGATATCCTGCTGCTCTACCTTTCGCCCTTGCTTAATTCTGTGGCGCCTTCACAAAGCCTCCCAGAAACCCCTGTTTCCTTGCCGCTCTACCTTCCACCCCTTCTACATCCTCCCTTGCGGTGCTCTCTGGCCCCCTGCTATGTGCCTGGCAGAAGCCTCTGCTATACATGCTTCCAAGCAATATCTCTGCCGTCGGAAATTTATTTCCCTCTGACTGCTCCCAAAGCAGCTTCTGCTGTCCCTTGGTTGCTTGCCCCACGACACTGTGCATCAGATCGATACAAGCTTACATGTTTCAAATACTTCACTTGCTCTTGTGCAGTAAGTCGTGTCCCGGTCTATAAGTTCAACTGCAACACTTGTTCAGTTTCTAGCTGGAACCAGGGGTACTGGTACTATACTGTACACTACGGTCAATACGAACTACCAAACGAGCATACAAATGATAGTGCGTCCTCGCACACCTTCGTCGCAAGAAGGAAAGATGATCGGACACCTTACTACCGTTTCAACACACAAGCTCCCTTAGTCCACCAATCAATCCCTTTTCTCCACCTTGCACCCTCAGTGCACCTCATGTCAGCCGTGCGGCTGCGATGTAGCTCTCGCCGCTTACGGAAAAATCGAGCGCACATATATACTTCAGGCACCCCAAACTCCAAACAAGCACTGGTAGTGCAGTTCTTAGAACACAAGGACCCACCGGTACGCCTTCTTAACACACAGACATGCAGCCCAATGCCGCCTCGGAACCACGAACCGCACCGAGTCTGGCACGTCTCTGGCCTCACCTCCACCCTTTGCATCCGCCAGCGAAAACTCGTGCTTAGGCCGTGGATACGCACAATCTCCCGTGCGGTGGCCTTTACGTCGCTGCCATGTTAACACACCTCCGCATCCTATGCATCAACGTGAACGGAATCAACGAGACCCGCAAAATGGACGAGCTCAAGTCGTGGCTCGCGAGACTTCCTGCCCCCACTGACCTGGTCATCCTCATCGACACCCGTCTTATCCGCAGAATCCCCAACCTTGACCTAAAGTTTCGACCGCACGCCTCAGCGCACGCCCCAGCACTACTCTCTACCGACAGCGCTACAGGGAGGCCCACGCTCATCGGTGGCGTCTCCATCCTTTCTTTCAACAGGGCCATCTCACTGTCCTCTCCGCTTCCCTCCGCAGATGGCAGACTTCTCACCGTACACCTCAATTATCTTCGCGAGCAAATCCGCCTTATCGCCATCTACGCCCCCACACAGTTTTACGGACGCCGGGTATGGTGGAACACCACGCTCGTCCCGGCACTGGAAGCCCCCATCGCCGCCTCTGCGTCCATGCTAGTCGGAGATTTCAACTCAGTCATCCTTCCCATCGACAGAAACCGCCCTCCCAAGGATTTCGAGGCTCGAGAGAGTGCCTCTCTTGACAAACTCATGGATAATCACGCACTGGTCGACACTTTTCGTGCACTCCATCCCACGCCTACTGACGTTTTCTCCTTCTTTGGGAGGCAACGTCACAATACTGCGACACCGCCTACTTCCTCCCGACTCGACAGGATATACATATCTCGGGCCTTCGTACCCCGCCTTGCTGCAAGTCCGTACATCCAAACCCGCACGGTAATCACGGACCACCTCTACGCCCCTCTCTGCTCGCTCAGCTTCATCAACCCCACAGTTGCCCCCCGACCCTGGCGCCTCTGACAGCATCTACTCATGCGCCCCCATGTCTCACAGATCATCGACTCCACCCTCGCAGTCTTCCCAAGCACCCCTTCCCCGGACTCCTGGGACACATGGAAGCTCGACCTCACCCTTAACCTCAAGCGTTTTTCCAACCAGGAGAGACGCCGCGTCGATGGCACTATCGCACATCTGGAACACACCATAGGCTCTCTACAACGGCATGCTGCATACACGCCCCTAACTCAGGCCGAGTCTAACCGCCTTGACCAAGCAAGACTCCATCTGGCCAGGTATGAAGCCTCGAAAGCCTCCGAGATTGCGCTCAAGGCCAAGCTCAAAGTAGAAGGGCACAGAGAAATGGGAGTCTCCTCCCTTCTGTCTGGCCTCAACTCGCGAATCAAGGGCTCGAACATCAGCTCCCTGACCTTACCTAATGGACAGACAACGTCGGACCTCCCCACCATGACCAACTTGTGCTCTAACTTCTTCCAGACTCTCTACAGCAGAAGCAACCCCGCCACCCCTAACACTGCCTTCTGGCAACACATCCCCCCCTCCTCCATCCCGAACTCCCTACTCCTACGCCTCGGCGCCCCCTTCTCCCTAGCCGAAATTGGAAAAGCACTGCTCTCTCTGTCTCGAGGAAAAACCCCCGGCCCAGACGGCCTTCCCGGGGAACTCTTTCGGCAATTCGCCCCGCGATTTGCACCGATCTTCCACTCCCTGCTCTCCCCACCACAACCTCTCTCTCGCCTACCCCCGTCCATGCTGACCGGACGCACTGTCCTTATCCCCAAAAGGGGTGACTCCTCGCTAGTAGAGAATCTACGCCCCATCACCCTCATGAACGCTGATTACAAAGTACTCGCTCTGTGTCTTGCTAACCGCCTTCAGCTCGTTCTTCCCCAGCTCATCCACCCATCCCAAACCGCCTTTATTAAACAC